TCGAACCTTCATGTCCAAGGACTTCTATTTCAGCTCAATAAAATTGTGAATGTTTATTAAGAGGACCCCAAGCATCCAAGGAATAATTAAAATAGGCTCAATAATTTCATTAAAGATGCAACACATTTTGAAATATTTTTGTTCAAAAGAACCAAATAAAAATTTTAGTGCCTTAATACATACTCAGCTAACCAAAACATTCATTTATTCAAAAAGATTTAATCTCTAAGTAGTCTTGTTATAAGAAGATACTGAGAGTAGAAACAAAATACAACATAACAAATTATTTCATGAGGAGGTGTGGCAAAGACTGCTAATTGTTGCCCATCTTTTATTCTCCAAATCTTTGTTTTAGAAATAGAAATGCCTTGAGTATATGGGGATAGGGCTACCCACTTGTCTAGAGACTTTATGTCCTAATCTCCCTTGCAGCTCAGCGTGGTCATGTGACTAAACTCCCATCACTTGAATATGAATGAAATCTGTTGAGTAACTTATGTGGTACTTCCTTATAAGAAAATTGCCTGCCTCCTGCTTCCTCTTCCTCTCTCCAGGGGCTGTATTGAGAACATAAAGCAGTTAAGCTAGCCTCTACCATGAAGATGAAGTGGCAACCAAGGAAATGGTTGAACAAAAGGACAGAGGAAACCTGGTCCCCAGGTCAACCTGTGCAGAGTTCCCTACCTTCCACAGACACCATGCCTCCCTATTCACTTCTGTCTCATTTGAGCCAGAGTAATTTGGGGTCTTTTTGTAGCAGACTCATATCATCTTAATACTAGTAAATTTAGAGAAAGATAATAGAAATTAACTTCAAGTCTATATTGAGTACAAGTATTTTGCAATTTACTATGTCAGGCTCTATAAAGATGCTGAATTAATTAGATGCAAGTTCTGTCCTCTGAGACTATAATCCAGAGAAGAGGAACTAAGTTCCCAGACAATTACATTCCCATGTAGTCCACATTGCTTTTATGTGAGAATTATAAATGAGGTGTTATGGGACAATAGTAGGAGATAATTCTATCAACTTGCACCAATAAATCTTGAATCAGGAAAATCTTCATGAAGATGGCCTTTGAGAAAAATCTACAATTGAAAGGATTTCAAAAGCAGAGATGAACAATGACAGGAAAGGAAAACAATGTGAATAAAAGCACTTCAGCAGAAAAGTACACATGTGCTCATGTGTCCCTTTAGAATATAGAGTTGAAGGACCTTGGAATGTGTGCTGGAAGAGTAAGTGTAGATCACATTGTGAAGAGCACTGAATTGTAATTATAAAATGTGTATTGAGCTCTTTCTATATGCAAACATTGTGCTAAATGTTTTATGTGCACTTTCTCAACTAATCTTTTATATTTCCCCTTGAGGGTAAGGAATCTATATTTAATTCAGCAGGAAACAGAAAACCTGAATAACTATGAGAAAGTGAATGACACCCTTTAACTGGGCTTCAGGATGGCTAATCACCATGTAGGAGTGTACAGTGCAGGATGCAAAGCAGCGAGAATACTTTTGGAATAGACAAGGCTAGAGATCGAAACTTGAACTAGTGTGGCAGCATGAAACATGACTCAAGACGTTATGACGAATTTGGCAAGTAATTACTTGATTGTGTGAAGGGTCCTATAAAAACAGGAAGTGGGAGGATAATCCTAATGTTTAGAACCTGAGCCCTGAAATTAACAAAATAGGGAGTGATGTGTTTTCAACAAAAAATAGAAGGTAACTGGGCTTATTGAGATGTTGATGGATTCCATGCAGAGAACCTTTGCTTTCTCAGTACCATGACTTACTATGTGATTTCTCAAAATTGGCTGAATATTTCTAAACCTCTTTTGTTCTCTGAATAATAATATCCAACTCACAGATTTTATTTGAGGGTTAAAGAAGAGAGTGTTTTTTAAAGGACAGAAAAAGCACCTAGCACTATATAGTACATAGTAGGTAGTCACTATATAGGTATCTATAGACAAAGATATAAACATATAAATTGAATATGTGAGAGTTTGTAAAATCATTGAAGAAAATAAAAGGTTTTGAGGCAAGAACCTTGGGAAATACCTTCATTTTAATACACAGTACGAGTAACAAGGGCCAGTAAAGGTAACAGGGGAAAATAGTAGTGAGGTGAGAAGAAATGAAAGATGGGTAAAAAGACCCAGGTAGAGAGATCAGCCTCTGTCAGGAAAAGGGATACACCTTCCTCCTGGAGGTAAAGGAGAGAGAGGAGGTGAGTGAAGAAAGAACGATGTGGAAGACAACACTGTGTCATGAGAGAGTTCATGAAGCTGGCTTTTTAGGAAAGTTGTGTAAGTCATCTAGTGAGGGGAATTAGAATGGGTAAAATGAAAGACCTGAAGAAATGTTTACAGGTTATTTTTTTTCTTTTACATGTAAAGGGCATTTATCCAGCAAAAAACGTTATTTCTTAATGTTTCCACTTTAATAATATTTTATCAGGTCCATATTTCTCTTCAAATCATTCATTTTTTCTAATATTTGGAGAAAGTTTTTAGAGAAAATACTCTCAAATGACTGAAATGAGTCACTCCTGGTGATTTCTATTCTTTAATCTCAACTCTAAGTATAAAAGAAATAAATGGCCATAGTGCTGGATGGGGTACCAAATTGCACAGTACCATTCTGAAACCTTCACCTTCCTACAGAATGAGTATAACACAATTTTATAGGTCTCTTTTCCGCTGTAGTGGTTTGAGTGATGTCCCCTAAAAATTCATATCAACCTAGAACTTCAGAATGTGACCTTGTTTAGAACTCTGCAGATATACTAAGCTAAGGTGGGTGGACCCTAATCCAATATGACTGGTTTCCTTATAAGAAGAGAGAAATGTGGAAGAAAGACATGTGAAGACAGAGGCAGATAATAAAGTTATGCTACCACAAGCCAAGGAATGCCTGGGGCTCTCAGAAGTTGGAAGACTCAAGAAAGAGTCTTAGAGGTTTCTGAGGGAGGAGAGCTCTGGCAAAATCTTGATTTTGGACTTCTGGCCTCCAGAACTTAGGGAATAAGTTTCTGTTATTTAAGCCACTTAGTTTTCAATCTTGTTATGGTAACCCTAGGAAAGTAATTTGCCTTTTTTTGCTTTAAGTCTTGTGACTAATGCACATGCACAAACTTCCTATATGTCTTATAATGATTACCCACAAATCAAAAGAACCATTTTCTACTAGAACTTAGCTCTGTTGAGCTTGCATCCCTCTTCAGAAACATCAGGAATATATTTCTTAAACTATCATTGTAAACAGAGTAATGATTTATTCTGAAAGCCCTGAAAAATAATGAGGAGTGGACATGAGAAAAAAGCATTTTAAGATCCATTGTATTAAAAATTACGCAAGCACTGCAGTAGAGGTCAGTCAAATGAGAATGAGAACTAATCATTCAGAATAAACAACCAGTAGAAGAAGAAAAAATAGCCTAAGGCCCTAATACATGTCACTTTGAAAGAAAGGATACCCAATTAGAACCCTGAGCCTGGAGTAACTACAGTGATGAAAGCAAACAAAGTGTTAGGGCTCCACCTGAAACTCCTTGATAGCACATCAAGAGGAATGCACATGCACAAACTGCCAGAGGGAACAGAAAGGACAAAGGCCCAGACTGTTTGAAGACTGTGCTGCTTAATCTCAGCACAGATTTGGATAAAAATACCAACCTGGCTCTCTATGCTTTGAGCCTATATGATATCACAGGAGGAACTAAATCAAAACTTAGAGATCAAGGTCTTGGATTGAGGTACAATTACTCTGGAAAGGTGGTGAAAAGATGCTACAAAGAGCCATAGAACAGCAAAAGAAAAACTTTAGACCTAACCTTTTTCTTGAAACAATAAAATCAGTAGGAGATAAAGGGAGAAAACTATTCCTTTTTTTATTTGTTGAACTCCTGGGAAATATGCTGTGTTCATATGTGTAAAATAAAAATTATATATAATGGAGTAAAAAGGGCCACAGTAAGAAGTTATAACAATACTAGAGGCCTGGTGCACGAAATCATGCACCAGGGTCCCTCGGCCTAGTTTGAAGGATAAGGCCGAAACCAGCTCTCCAACATCCCCTGAGGGTTCCCAGATTGCAAGGGGGCACAGGCCAGGTGAGGGACCCCACTGGTGCATGATCAGGGCCAGGGAGGGACACAGGAGGTTGGCCGACCAGGGAGGGGCCGCGGGAGGGCTCCAGGGCATGTCTTGCCCATCTCACACAGTCCCGATTGGCCAGAACCCAGCAGCAAGCTAACCTACTGGTCTGCCCCCTGGTGGTCAGTGCACGTCACAGGGAGCGGTTGAGCGGCCTTAACATATCATTAGCATATTATGCTTTGATTGGTTGAATGGACAACCGGACATGTGGCATATTAGGCTTTTATTATATAGGATTATTTGTAAAGAACATCAACATTTGATTTGAAAATGGACTGGAATCATTGTAGACTTCTAAAGATTTGAGTAGCAAGATCAAAATGACACTTCAGAAAGTTACTTCTTACTGCTCTCGGTGGGTGGGATAGTTTAGAGACAATGAAAAGAATTTGAACATGAAGCAATTGGGTACCCAGACTGGGTTATGTATGTAAAAGACCCCAGAATTCAAACTGGATTAGATGAGACAGGCCTATACTTTGATCTGTATTCCTTCCACAAACTCTTTAACCAAAACCTCCAATATTTTATTCTCCCACCCTTAAGTAGATATTTCATCAATCATTTGCCTACAATCCATTGATCCCAATATCCTTTTCATTGTCCCTCATCTCCATCAGGTCCTCACTTCCATCCCTAAACAAATTAAATAACATAGTTCATAATTATAACCACTCTTTTCCATGTAACTCCCAACTTACTACTCTTCTCTCCTTCCTTTAAACTCACCTGGCTAAATCCCAGTGGTAATGAAGTACAACTCCCCACCTTTGTATCTGGACAACTGAATGGCGCTGAAGAAAAACACACAACCATGCTTTTACCCTTCTTTCTTTTACTCCATAATCTCTAACCTCAAGAGGACCCTTGCCCCTTAATCATTCTGTCTTCATGGTCCATTCAGTCTCCCACTTAGATAATTATTCCATGTCCTCAAATTTCCAACACCATCACGACCCTCTGCTGATGATATTATTTCCTATTTCTCTGAAAAGACAGATGAGATCATATGAGAAATTTTTCAAACTCCCATCACCATATCTGCTTTGAATCAGCCTTTTTACTTCATGCTAGAAATGAACAACCCATGCTCTTCTCAAAGTCCTACCCTTTCTCCTGTGTCTGGATTTGACCTCTTCTTACCTACTCAAAGATGTCACTCTAATATTTATCCTTCCTTTTTTCCATTATCATTTTTCCTCTCACTTAGATTAATGCCATTAGCATATAAACATATTATAATACTAGAGGCCCAGTGCACGAATTCGTGCACAGGTGTGGTCTCTCGGCCTGGCCAGCGTTTGGGACTGATCCAGGCCGTCTTGCCCAGTCCTTATTGGGGCCGACCGGGGCCAGCCAGCTGGGGCGGGAGCAGGGAGGGACCGTGGGAAGTTGGCCAGCTGAGGGAGGTTGGCTGTGAGAGCACACTGACCACCACGGGGCAGCTCCTGCATTGAGTGTCTGCCCCCTGGTGGTCAGTGCGCTCTCACAGCACTGTTACCAGCCGGTCATCCAGTCATCCAGTCGTAATTGTCGCTTAGGCTTTTATATAGAGAGATCTGTAAAAAAATAAAATCCCTGCTTTGTTTCAGTGCGCATCATAGTTACCAGCCGGTCATCCGGTCATCCAGTCATAATTGTCGCTTAGGCTTTTATATAGAAAGATCTGTAAAAAAATAAAATCCCTGCTTTGTTTACAAATTCTCCTTTAGTTATTGCCTCATTTCTTTATTCCAGAATGTTCAGAAACTTAATTTTATGTCCTGAACTTCATTTTCTCTTTTACTCACTTCACACAGGCTTTTGCCTGTACCACTCAGTAGAAACTGTGTCAGGTCACCAATTGCAACATAAACAACAAAAGCAAAAACTAAGTGGAACTACATCAACAATCAGAATTGTACACATGTTATCTATCTTTATGAAATATTGTTGGGGAAGGGAATATGAAAATTATTAATATTGAAACCAAGCTGCTATATTTTTGTCAGCAATGTCCTGTAAATATCATTCTGACCGAAAATTTCTGAAACTATGGTGTGGCTTTTTTGTGGGTTTTTTTTTTTTTTTTTGTATTTCTGTATTTTCATTACATTACAATATGTAGAGATTATTCAATGAAGAAAAGTGGATGTGATTTAAAATTTCAAATCAAAACTAGCTTAAAAATACTAATCTAATAAATAATTCTCAATTTGCCAAGTGATCACAAAACTATTTCAATTTTTTTCTCCTAACACTTGACTCAAAACTGTATCCCATGAAAAGTTGCCCCAAGAAATATACAAGGCAAAGATATTTGTGAAAAGATATTTAATCTCACTAGCAATGTGGATAATTCAAATAAAAGTGACTTACTGTTTTAGATATCAAATTAACAACATGTTTATAAATAATGTTATCTACTATTAGCAAGGCCATATGGGAGTATAAATCAGAGTATTGTTTCCATGTAGAAATTGATTAGATAAATAAATATTAAAAGCCTTAGAAAGGGCTCTTAACTCATCAATTTCAATTACTCAATGTATTCTAACAAAATAAAGATGCATATAATGATTTAGTACCATTGTTTATCATCTTGAACATTTACAAACTACCCAAAATTTTAGCAATATAGAATTAGTTAAATAGGCATGGTTTAATCTCTATAAAAAAAAAAACCCCACAAATGTTTTAGGTGAACATGCAATGGCATGGAAAGATGTCTCTAGTCTATTATTAAGTGAAAAAAAAGGTTATCGAGCAGTACGTATAATGTACAGTTTGAGTCAGAGGAAGAGGGAAAGAAAAACTACATGCTCAAAATTAATCTCTCCAGTGTGCTATTATGTTTTTCTTCTCTTTTTTGCTTATCTGTTTCCTAAACTTTCAACAATGATAAATGGTTTTGTAAACAGAGTAATATTTGCTCTTTAATCTACTTTCCACTTTTAAAAGCTCAGTGACTTCTACACATTTATAAATACAATTTGCAATACCTTAGCTGATACATATCCTTGCAGATATGTTCTTTTTTCACACATTCATGTTTTCTTCACTCATCAATTCTCATGCCAATTTGTAAGTTCCAAAATCTCAAGAACAATTGCCTCCAATTCTTTAAGCTTTCTAATGCCTAATAATATAAGGTATACAAAAATTACACATATTAATATTTATCAAATACATGAATCAGAAATATGTGATGGAAAGAGGCCTTAAAAATTAAAGGTAGATAAAAGCTGTTGTTGATATTCTAAATACGTTTGATTAATATTTCCCAAATCAAACCCGCAATTACTGTCCCTGCTTCAGAGTTATTACTATTTGAGGCTATCTGTCTCAGTGTTTGAGTTCAAACCTTTGCTCAAAAAAATTCTGTGGATCTGGAGCCCTGAGTCCCGCCCACTAGGCTGGCCTGCCTGCTTACTTTATCATTGCTGGGAATCATGGCTCAATGCACCTGTTTTCCTATATGTATGTTATACATGTGCTAAGTAATATAAGTAAAATATGCATTACAGCATTATTTATAATAGCAAAAGAATGGCAATAACTTAATATTTATTAATAGATGTGTGACTAGATTATACTCCGTGTATATGATAGAATATATGCCACCTTTAAAAAAAGTAAGATAACTTTTAAAAAATTATTTTTTAATTGATTTCAGAGAGGAAGGGAGAGAGAGAAACATCAATGATGAGAGAGAATGATGAGAGAGAATCATTGATCGGCTGCCTCCTGCACGCCCCACATTGGGGATCAAGCCTACAACCCAGGCATGTGCCCTTGACCAGAATCAAACCTTGGGACCCTTCAGTCCGCAGGCCAAACCAGCTAGCGCAAAACAACTTTTTATATATACAGTTAAGGAACTGATCTTGTAAAGTGAACAAAGCAAAATGTAGAATTATGTATATGTATAGGATGGTAGCATGTGTTTATGTATATGTATATATGTGTGCATAGTATCATTAAATAATATACATATTCTTTATGATAGGAGAACTAGATGATCAGAGGACAGTGTGAGAAAGAGATTTAAACTCTTTTGTACCTTTTGAACTTTGAATCCATTGCATGGATTTCCTTTTTAATGAACTTGGAACATATCTTCTTTATTAAGTGAATTTCTTAATCATATACATGTGGAAAGCAAGCGGGTATCCCAAGCCTTCGGGGAAGGGTGCAGCATTACAGGTATGTTACCAGATGAAAGCCACTCTTACTAATACACCCTGGTGTGGAGAGCTGTTTTCTATGGAGGAAGTGTGAGCAAAATTGCACAGGAGTTAAAGATTAAAGAGGCCTCTGGGAAAACAGATATTGAGAGCTTGACCTTGTTATGCCCAGATCTCAGGATCCCCAAGAAACCACACCAGGGAGCCAGCCAGGTCCAATGCTAAAGCATAAGAGTCTTTATTCGAGCTAGCTCGGCTCCCCCACCTCGCCGACACAGCAGCAGGAAGCAGAGAGAGAGAACTCTGTGTGGAGAGAGGTTTTATAGGGGGGTTGGAGTAAGGGGAGGAGAAAGGACTGTGGGCCCTGCCGATTGGCCAGGCGCAAGTCGGTGTCTTGTTACACAGGATGTGGTCATATCTATGGCGACTTCCCTTGATTGTCATTGCTTAGTTTAAAAAAGTCCTGGGTGTGGCTAGCAGAGGCTTGGGCTTCTGGGAAGAAGCCTTGCCGAGCACATGGCCAAGGTAAGATGGAGGGCATAGCCCTTACCCTGGGGCAAGATGGAGGGCGTAGTCCTCGCCCTTTCAACCTCATCTCTTTTGAGATTATTAAGAACTTTCTAATTGATCAATATAGTCCCACAGATGAGAATGACTTGCCATATCCTAAAGGGGGACTTCACCATTAGGGGAAAAGCATATGGATTGGTGAGCTGAATCACAGGTCATGGTGGAAGGGCTAATTGCAGTAGAGCAAGTGGCTGTGACTTGACTCCCTTGCTGAGCTAGCTCCCTGATAGGTGCCCATGTTTTGATTATAATGTGAGTGTGAACCAAAGAGTTGAACTTGGTAGCCCAAGTCTGGAACACCCTCATCTGCCCCAACCCTCATGGTTAAAGAGCATTCATATTGGTAACAATACTAATGTGACCACAGATAGACTTAACACTATGGGAGGAGACCTCTCCCTATATTTAAAAACTACTAATACATCTGCAGTGGTGTCATTATAACAATAAATTGGACAGCATAGAAAATTGCAAGACCTTCCATTTTTAACAGCAGCATGTGGCTATAACAGAAGCAAAGTCATCTGAAGACAAAGACCTTTTCTTTCTTAATGAGAATTTGGAGGTATGACTATTCCTTGAAGTAAGTCAGTCCCCAGAGGTTATGAGTAATTTTTAACTTGACGAATGAGCTGACAACTTCATAAATAAGGAACTGGACTTTCTAGCAACTTGAGCACATGAGTGTTCAAGCCAATATTAAATTGAAAGATAAAATAAATATGAACTCCTTTGTTACCCCCAAGGTGGTGAAGTAGGCCATACCAGTAACATAAGAAAGAACCCTGTCTCTGGCCAACCTCAGGGATACCAAGAGAAAGCCAATCTAGTTGGGTCTCAAGAAGAACAGGAGTGGAATAGAGCTCCTGGAACTGGAAGGTGGACCAGAGTATAAGGCGGTTAGGAAACTGAAGGGCAGGAATCTGGATCTCGCCCCAGGGTTTCAGCACCAATGTGAAAGCTCCTCCCTCAGCACTTCTTTCTTTTTTGGTTACCACCCAACCTCTTCACCTCTGTTTATCTTTGTTTCCTTCTCATAGCTTCTGTTTACACTTTGGCTATACCCATAGCCATTTAGCTTTGGCTCCCTCTACTAACTGCCTCTGAACTTCCTAACTGACATGACCCATAGCAAGAACTAATCGGCTCAGGTAGACTTTGCCAAACTTTCCACAGGGAACCATCTTCTAGTCATCAGCCTACTGTTTGACTGTCCTTGGGTTAGGTGCCCATCAATTCCACCTGTCTTGGCTCTAAACCACATCTGGAAATACCACAGGTTGGAGTGGAGGGAAGAGCAGAACTGGTACAAAGCAGGCTGCCTAGGACTCCCCATCAGCAGAGTCAGAGCACACAACCGTTTCCTTTAAAGGGGGGTGTGGATCACTGCAAAATCCCATGCCAAGTCTTCATGCTAGGGAACTATGAGAACCTGGAAATTTTATGAAAACAAGGTCCATAAGAATATGGTAGGGTGGGAGTGGCTGGGGAGAGGTCAATGAGGGGGAAAAGGAGACTCATGTAATACTTTAAAAAATAAAGAATTTAAATTAATTTTTTTAAAAAAGAATATGGTAGAGATTCTGCTTAAATAGTAATTTTTACAAGGGCTAAAATTATGGGCTATGAGTAGAATTTCAAACTAAACTCACTCTAATTCTCCATTGCTAAATACAGTTCACTTAGAATTTAGGAAAATAATGAATAAATTCAAAACTTTGCCAAAAGGAAAATGCTCCTTAAATTAATAGAATTAAGGGTTCTATGCCTCTCTCTTCTTGCTCCTTCAAGCAACTTAGTGTGCCCAACCCCTTATTCCATGTATTATAGAGTATGTTATGATTACAACAGAATTTAATTTATGCTCCACAAATACCCGTTATACTCATAGCCTCTAGTCAGACTACAAGTTTAATATATTAAATTTAAAACTATTATGTTAAGAACAGAATGAAAAAATAATTAGTAAGTATGATAATATTGTGATCTTCCAGACATGAGCTGATTGTTGGGCCAGCTTCCATTACAAAACAAGGACTACACCTTGATTTAATGGCTTTCTCTCTGAACACCCAAGGGCACAGTAACAAACACTATAGGATTACTGGGCAAAGATAATAGGAAAGAATCCAAAAAGTTCACACCCTAGGAAGCATTCCAAAACATTTTTTTAACCTTGGATTTAAAATCACAAAGGCTTCAGCTGCTTAAGGAAGGTGAAGATCATAGGCAAAGTGCTTGCCAACTGCTTGGCTGAATATTTACAAGTGGTGGGTTTATTTTGTGACTTTAATTGCTCTCTCAGGAGAATATGGAGACTGCAGCCATGTATAAATACCTTAATTTAATTCTGGCACTAAAAATGGAATTAATTTTTTTCAAACATATTATGGAGAGTAATGCAAATTTAGATCTTTTGGGTTTTGTCTGGTCATTTTATATGTTGAAGAACATCTTTAGAGTTTTAAGTATATGTATTCTATCTCACATTATGCTTCCTTCTCCTTGATTTACTTTGCTCAGTAAAATATTTTACTGTACACAGAAGCAAGCTGAGAAGCTCCCTGCAAATCGAACATTATGTTTCTCTTACTAGCTGCCCCTGGGGTTCTGAGCTATAATGATTTTTTTTTTTTACTATCCTACTATTTGGGGAGTAAATATATGAGATTATAAATATATTTTCCTATGCGTATCAATGCATAATGACATATAATTTTTAAAAAGGACTAGAAGGTACACCACTTCTCTAAAATAAGTAAATATCAGATGTGGTGTTCTTATCACCATGGCATAAGATGGGTACTTTGTGATCTTGTCATACTGGCAATCTTTCATGAGAGCCTTTTATCTCCATTAGAAGTGTCATAGCTATTTAGGTATCACAGGTACTCTGAAACCATCATATTCTAAGGGAGAAGTTCTACCCGCCAAGCAATTACCCATCTTATTTGTATTTAACAACTGTATAAAATACAAGGTGCATCTCTGATGCTACATTAATAAACAATGACAGTAATAAAGTTGGGAGATCAACAACAAATCAATTCAAATGAAGAAAATTATAATAACTGAGAAAGGATAGAGTATTGAAAAGTAAAAGGTGCAATATACAAATCCCATAGCATAGAAACCCACACCTGAAACCTCTATGTTCATGCTGAGCAATGTGAGAACCTGTGAGAATATGAAAAATCAAGGTGAGGATGAGAGAACTAGAACCAGATCAATGAGGAAACATAGGCTACTTCCTTCTAGAATAAAAGCCTGCACTACAATGTGATATTCCTGAGCCTACATACAAAAGGAATTCACATTTGAAAAAAGCTAAGTGGATTATTCTGATTAGATTAAGAATATGATTACAGGCATCTCTCAGGTTCGTTCCAGACCACTGAAATAGAGAGAATATGGCCTTGCTTAGTGTACTCAGTGGTCAAGGTTCAATTCCTGGTGAGGACACATGCCCTGGTTCGATCCCCAGTAGGAGGCGTGCAGGAGGCAGCTGATCAATGGTTCTCTATCGTCATTGACATTTCTATCTCTCTGTCCCTCTCTCTTCCTTGTTGAAATCAATAAAAATATATTTTAAAAATAAATAAATAAAGTGAATATGGCAATAAAACAATGCATGTGATATTTTTGGTTTCTTTTTGAAATCAATAAAAATATATTTTAAAAATAAATAAAGTGAATATGGCAATAAAACAACGCATGTGATATTTTTGGTTTCTGGTGAATATAAAAGTTATGTTTACACTACACTGTAGTCTATTAAGTGTACAATAACATTGTCTAGAAAAATAATGTACATACCTTAATTAAAAGATATTTCCACCATCTGAGCTGGTTGGTAAAATGGTGCCGATTGACTTGCTCAATGTAAGGTTGCCACAAACCTTCAATTTATAAAAAACACAATATCTGCAAAACATAATAAAGCAAAGCACAATAAAATGAGCTATTCTTGAATGTGACATCCAAGACAAAGTGAATATATCCTCTCAGTTCCTGGGAATCTTTTGCAAAGCCAGTAAGAGGTTATATCCTGAGAGCTTTTGTGCAAGAAACATTTTAAAGTTTGAGGTAGAGAATGGATATGCATTATCATTAAGCTTCTAGAAATGTTTGTACTTTTCACAAGCATCTAAGGCATTTGTTTAAAGACACTCTAAGTGACCATTTCTACACATTACTTACGTCTGGGAAGCCTAAGAAACTGTCTCACTACCCAGAGTGAGACACAAAATTGACTTCTATGAATTTTCATGAACATTCAGATGATTTGCAGACAAAACAAGTCTTTCCCACAGGCAATTAAGCACCTCTGGGAATGCCAATGACAGTTTGCATGATTTTGAGCTTGAAGTTCACATCTATTCGTTTTTTTTTTAGTTCAAAAAATAAGAACTATTCTCCTCAAAGCGTAAAGAGGCTTAAAACAACATTTAAGTGAAATATTAAAACAATTAGGTCATTATGATGCTAGCTAACTGAAACTGACAGATATTTATCTTCCCATACAAAAAAAGGAAAAAGTGATGGAAGTTAAAAGAGCAATAGAAAGATGTAAAAATAAATTATTGATGAGTTATCTACCCCTGATTATAGCTTATATAGGTTATAAAATAATCATTGATAAGACCTCTGATACAGCTATTAAGTATTATAGAAATGAACTGGATGACATACCATTTAACTACTTAATAATGTAGATTTTACCCACCATCTTCACCTTTACCTCTCTTTCTACATCTGTTCAGGAAGCAACAATTAGTGCTAAATACTTAGTAGAGGATAGGTGGTGGTGCCTGCTTTTTGGTGGTAAATTAAGGTTGGTTAGGTCAGAGCAAAGCATGCCCTCTAGAGGTTATACGGGTCATGTACTATCTATAACAAATTATACAAATTTCAAAATATTTTGTGGAAATTCCAAAAATAAATTTACTTCCTTATACATTAAGAATAAAAACTGAGAGAAGAAGAAATTTCTCACTCTATCTAACAAAGCCATCCTAACTAAATGTCTTCTATACACCGGAAGGTGGTTGTCAGGTTAAGAGCTGACCAGGGAATTCTAGCAATAAAAATGTGGATAATATATAAACTCAAAGGGAATGAAACTATCACATTACTTTACAAATACCAGGTCCTGAGAAGTAATTCCTCATTCAAGTTTGAAAAATCAGAAAGAAATAGGTAAAAGGGGACCTTTAAAAGAAAATAAAAAACCTCTGTGATAAAGAAAATAGAACTTAGCTATTACCTTAAAAATACATGAAGATGTCGATCTCTAAATAATAGTTATCCAATAAATAAAAGTTTATATTGTTTGTGTGTTTTTTAAAATCTCATGAAATATAAGAAATTATGGATTCAGTGAACAAGAGAAAGACACGATAAAAATTGAGCTGGCAGAGAAAAATAAAAATTCAAAAAACCCCTCAAAAAACAGTAAAATATATAATAATTAAAATATGCATTTGGAGTATGTAAAGTACAAAATTAAAACTGCATAAAACTTAATCAGTAACAACCTAGAGAAATTCTCTAAGAAAGTGATAGCTACAGTGAAAGAAAATATTCAACCTTTGAATAGTCATCACCACTGAAAAAGAAATCAGAATGGGAACAGAAGTAATTGTAAAAGATTTATTAGAAGGAAAAAATTAAAATGCCCTAAAGTAAAAATAATAATAAAGTGTAGGTATTGATAGATTAAAAAGGCTTACCAAATTCTAGGCAAAATTAATATACAATAGGCTAAATTAATTATAAACTAAACAAAATTTTAAATTCCAAAATAAGATTTTATAAAAATTCAAGCAGAAATAGATTTTTTTTAAGACAAAGGGAGAATCTTTTTTTAAAATATATTTGTTTTGATTTCAGAGAAAAGAAGAGAGAGGGAGAGATAGAAACACCAATGATGAAAGAAAATTACTTATCAGCTGCCTCCTGCATGCCCCATACTGGGGATCAAGCCTGCAACCAGGGCTTGTGCCCTGACCGGGAATTGGACCATGACCTCCTGGTTCATAGATCAACACTCAACCACTAAGCGACACCAGCATGACTGCAATTTGAGATGTCTCCTGTCCTTTCATGTTTTTGTGTGTTGTCGGTTTTTTTGCCTCACTCATTCTCTTCTTTCATCTAGTTCTTCTAGAGCAGTGGTTCTCAACCTTCCTAATGCCACCACCCTTTAATACAGTTCCTCATGTTGTGGTGACCCCCAACCATAAAATTATTTTCATTGCTACTTCATAACTGTAATTTTGCTACTGTTATGAATCGTAATGTAAATATCTGATATGCAGGATGTATTTTCATTGTTACAAATTGAACATAATGAAAGCATAGTGATTCATCACAAAAACAATATGTAATTATATATGTGTTTTCTGATGGTCTTAGGCGACCCCTGTGAAAGAGTTGTTCGACCCCCAAAGGGATCGCGACCCACAGGTTGAGAACCGCTATTCTAGAGCTAAAATATTATTGGAGGAGAAAGATCGTTCTTTTTCCTTTGAGAGTAGCAGCGAGACTTTTCCCCAGTTAAATAAAAAAAAATCATAAATGGGATGAAGAGGTGCCCACATGGCAGTACTTTTCAGTTCTCTGCTTTGGGAAGAGAGGTAGTAAACACTGAGGATGTGATAAGGTCAGAAGGAGAACTAGCTATTTCTGTCACTTAGCATACATGACCTTTTAAAATTATTTATTTTTTCATGTGATATCTTATCTCCCCATCCTATATAATAAAAGCCTAATATGCAAATCGACTGAACAGTGAAACCACCGGTCGCTATGACACACACTGACCACCCTGGGGGCAGATGCTCAATGCAAGAGCTTCCCCCTGGTGGTCAGTGCGCTCCCACACGGGGAGCACCACTCAGCCAGAAGCCAGGCTCACAGCTGGGGAGCACAGCAGCAGTGGCGGGAGCCTCTCCTGCCTCCGCTACAGGCAGGCAGTAAGGAGTGAGGGATCCCAGACTATGAGAGTCCCCGACTGGGAGAGGGATGTCTGACTGCAGGCCCAGGGATCAGGCCTAAGCTGGCAGGCGGATATCCCCCAAGGGGTCCCGGACTGAGAGAAGGCACAGGCCGGGCTGAGGGACCCCCCTGCCCCCCGCTCCCCCAGTGCACAAATGTCATGCAATGGGCCTCTAGTCTTGATTATAAGCAACTTGAGATCAAGAGCTATGTCTCATTCTTCTTTGGGTCCCTATTTCCTTACCCAGTGCATTATAGTGTGGGTCCTACATAAGTATCTGTGAAGATACCAATTATATCAAGCATACCAGTGGGAGAGAGAAAACAAAATGAAACAAAAATCTATCCTAGTTATTTAATTTTAGAAAAAGAAACTGAAAAATCTATAGAGATTATTTAGGGGGAAATTGAATGATAGCATTTAAAAATTCAATAATGCACAGGAAGCTGGAAACATTTATGAACACTTCATTGAAAAACCCAAGATAAATGTATGTCAAATTTGAAAATGCCCAGGGTGTGTGTGTCTGTGTGTGTGTGTGTGTCCATCCCCAGACAAGGTTAAGGGACTTGAGGAAGCAGATTTTTCCACTTAAAAGAGTTATCTGAGAATTATTTAATGTGATAGAGAAAGAAAGTAGGGATGGAGGAAAGAATGAAAGCAGGAGAGAGAAAAGGAAAGAAATTAATGTTTCAAGGACCAGAAAGCTGGCTCAGCTAAACAGAGCAGGGAAACTCGGAAAGGATGCCAAGTCAGGTAAGTCAGGTACAAACCTGAAATTAGGCAGATCAAAAAAGAATTGTGTGGAACTTTTGAAGAATGCCTGAAACCATCAGCAGAATTTGTGGATGCTACCTATGGAACTGGTGGGACCACTTAAGAGGTTTACATTTCACCCAAGAGCATGGAGAGGGAGAGGGAAGCAGGAGCAGGAGCAGGTGTAGAGGCCTTGGGAAGGACTGATCTCATCCAGGCTTTGAGTATGTGGTTTGAGAGGGAAACAAGGCAGGGTAAGCAAAAATAGGCCTTTATTTATATCTTAGTCTTCCCCCTCTTATTCATTTCTCCTTGTCCTTGCCTGGCTGTCTTCCACTTTCCTCAAAATTCCTATGCACTTCTCTACCATTCCCTCTTTCCCTTAAAGAATTCAGCCCCAAAGATATATTTTATGTGAATTGCTCTAAGTTTCATAAAAACCTGAAACAGATGCCAACATTTAAAAATTTGACATTCCATTTTTCAGGTACCTCTTGAAAACAAAAAAGATTTGGCAACACAGCCCCAGTCTCGTGGGAACAAAGAGCTGGCACTGGGTAGCTTCAGCCTCTCTACAGAGAGTGACATCCTGCATCCACTCAGTCCCCATCCAGCCAGATTCACTAGTAATGCTACCTGGCAAGTTTCTATTCCTCTTCTTTTCCTTGCATGAATGTCTTCCTTTCTTTGCCCTAGATATTTATCTTCTTCATAAATTTCCCTAAGTTGTAACTGTAGTACATATGTTATTTATTTTTTTTGGTGTGTGTGTTTTTTTGTTATTTATTTTTGTCTATTCTTTTTTATTATATTTTTATTTATTTTTAAAATATATTTTTATTGCATTCAGAGAGAAAGGGAGAGGGAGCGATAGAAACTTCAATGATGAGAATCACCGATTGACTGCCTCTTACACGCCCCACATGGGGACTGAGCCCGCAACCCGGGCATATGCCATGACCAGGAATTGAACTGGTGACCTCTTGATTCATAGGCCAATGCTCAACCACTGAGTCACGCCAGCTGCACTTGTCTATTCTTAACGTTTAACTGAACAAATAGAAACTTTTAGTTTTGTCTTTATTTCATATCACTCCCATACCAAACAATATGCTTTTAAATTAGTCTTTGACCAAGGATAAAAATATCCTTAGCATACATCCAAAAA